AGTATGGGATTCTGAGATACATTACCAAGGATATTATTACAAGATAAATCATTTGCTTCATTGAACACATACAACAATGCATATTTCCACTGAGATCAGTGACCTTTAATGTGTATCACTAGTGATCAGTCAAGTAGAAACAGTCAAAATATTTTATCAGATTTTCTCAATTTTTGCATGATATTTTCATACAGGACATCTGTTGTTCAAACTCAGGGAAGACTTTATACTGATGAATAAGGTGACCAAGTTTGATGAAGTTTGGAATAGAATTAGTAAAGTTATTATGCACGCAATAACAATTATTAACGACGACGACAACGACGACAACAACAACGACGGACGAAATTTTTCCCTTAATATACCTTTCCCTTCCATCTTTGATGGTACGGGCAAGGTAAAAATACAAATCCTATACCGATAATAACATAAAATATCCTTTACTTGTAGTTTTCATAATTAATTATTAATTAATTTACAAACCTCTGCAAACTGTGCTGCAGGATCTTGTTCTGAGTTATTAGGACTGTCTTCTGAGATGTCCCTGAAAAAAAGCATAAAAACATTAGGATTAATAAAACAGTCTTCTGGGTCTGACCAATGTAAGTATAAGTTCAAATTCAAGTTTTGTTGATTATTTGAACTAATTATTCAAACTACACTGGAAACAGCATTAGACTACACTGGAAACAGCATTAGACTACACTGGAAACATTAGATTACATTTAAATTGGCAACTGCATAGGACTACACTGGAAACAGCATTAGACTACACTGGAAACAGCATTAGACTACACTGGAAACAGCATTAGACTACACTGACATTGGATTTTTCAAAGCATGCACACCTTAGTTAGATGTCATGGTTCAAAGCATTTGTCCCTAAAAAGAAGAGTTGCATTGAAAATATGATTTGATAATAATGCTCAAGAAGCATTTCTAAAGAATGTCATGCATAACTTTGAAATAGAAACAAGTTTTCAGACTATACATAAATGTAGATGCCACTCACTCTGACAATTCTTCTATAAAACCAGAGTCGCATCTTGGACACACATAGTCCTTGAAAAAAAAAAAACATCATTATCACAAAAGTATTGGTCACAATTAGTAGCATGATCAGTAAACTTTCAGGGAATGTCTGAATCACAGTTCAATTATTAATTTCTTTTTTTCCTGTTGCTATCTTAGGAGAATGACACTTTTGTGAGTAAGTAGTACCGTAAAATCTGTATTAGAAGCCGCATCTCTAATATAAGTCACACCCATTCTTTTTGAACAATTGAGAACCAAACATTTACTATTTCTCACATGTGTAGATGCTCTAATAGAAGCCGCATCCTGTCTGTTACATTGTACCATTTTAATAGAAGCCGCAGCTTCTAATACAGATTTTACAGTACTCAATATAGTACACCCATTATAAATTATCAAAAGTTTGAATGTGAACATATTGAACAGGGAAAGTTTTAACAGTGATTTGGGGTTTGTTACAAATTTTTAATTTTGAAATGCTGTGACTATCATGCAAAGTCTGAACTATATGTGATTGTCAGTGGGGATGTGAATCCTGTTGTATGTCTGAATCACAAGGACATTGTCTCAGGTCAAATCATGTAGAAAAACGCATGGCGTTTGCGAGTTTACATAGGACTCAAGACACTAAAATTGACTCCAGTCAAACTATATATCAGATCATTCTTCCATTGGTGTCTACAATCACAAATGAGCAAAACATGTCATCACCAGTTACAAAATGACTTGCGTTACTCATGTCACAATTTTAATCATTAACGACCCCCTACTATAGCACAATCTTGGCGATGTTCACAATCCCATCAAAGGAGCTGCAAGTTGACCATGATGCATGCAGGAGGATTAAAAACACTTTTTTTATGATTACTTTGTCATATTTATTCATGTAGTTCTTTTGCGATTGAAAGCACATGGAAAATGATCATCATCTGACCAGAAACTCTGAGTATAGTTCTACTGGTCAATTCTCCCTCTAGTTTTACTAATCTGCTGATTTCACAGTCATATAACTTAAATTCAGATTATTTTGTATTCAAAATCTTTTGTGACTTCATGGTTTTTCAGATAATCTGATTTTTTATTCACTGTTGATTACAATAAAAATTCATCATTTTCACAAGAGCGAGGTCATAAAATAAAACCCACTTTGGTTATTTTCTAGCGTTAAAACACAAAATTATTATTTTATTTCAACAGTACCTTAAAATAGCAGATATGTAACAACCAGAGGTGTTTGTACAGTACCAATTAGTAGTGCATACGCTTACATAAATGAAAATGATGTGGCTATGGCCAAAAGTTATTTTTGCATGATACAGTACACGATAAATGTAACTGATGGTTTACATGCACTTCTATGGAGATGCGCTTGTACTAGAGCAAATGCAGTATACACATTTAGATACGAGTTGTTAAACAATCAGTGATTGGGATATGACCTGGGTCACAAGACTGTTTGTGTTATGTTCCCCATAATTCCCTGCACAACCCCCCCCCCTGCTCGATTACTACTTTTCCATGATTATAGTACAAAAATTGGCAGAAACATGTGAATTGTAGAGTTTTAAACAAAATACAGCTATTGATTGGAAAGAATAATTTTTAATTTCATATTTTAAAGTAGAAAATGAACCGCTAGTACTGAACGATTTATTTCGTTTATTGACCCTCAAGTGACTGTGGATTGACAGGCAATTCCCATGCACTGAATAGACACGATGCTTCCTGATGTATGTGTAAATTGAATATACACATTCATTATTTTAGGCATACAATTGTTGCTGAATTTTATACCAGCCCAATTTGTCAAGCCCTAGTGTATGAACAGACTGTATGATTTTGAATAGGGTAAGGCTAAATGAAGAATAAAAAATCAACGAATCAAGAATCAACGAATCAGCAATTCACGAATTAGCCTTACCCTTTTGAATACGTCACAAATGATATATTGCTTTCTTAGTTTAAAAAAAATGTGGATTATGCATGACTGTTATCAAAAATACATTCCACAAGGAAGTATACACAAACAGTTTCCAAGAATTTTCAAGTCGGTTGTTGGTAACGAGGCTGTTGGGAACAGATATGTGGCGATCACGAACGAAACTAATCGAAACTAAACAAATCGCAGTGTTTAGCAATACACTGAACGCCGGGTAATAAATAAACTAATCAGAACAGAACAGAACAGAAAGCTCGATAATACATTCGTACTATTGTAATGTAGCAATGATTGTTATTACCGATAAGACATTGGTAATTAGTGTGGCGAGGCGCAATAATTACGAGTCATAACTGATCATTTCTATGAAAAGCATATAGATTTGCACGAAAATACATCATGCACTTGATTTAGAATATGAAAATTTCAACTCGTTTAACTCTAGCTACGAGGACAGTTAACGGCCCGATGGAAACAGTGTGTACCGACCTAATATAGTATATACCTACCGGTAATTTTGGGCTTATTTCTCGGGTACACCGATGGCAAAAGAATCTAGAATTTGAGTTTTCTACCGAGGCTTCCGCCATCTTGTCTGTAAATTGTTATGACGTCATGAACATGCGCAGAGAAACATATAAAAACGGAGCGTGGTACGCAGTTCTCTTTGTAAAAGTATACATTTGCTGCCGTATTGTGCCTTTCAAGGTAAATGTAAGTATATATTCTTCAAAATCTTTGCGTGAATTATTAAATCACAATTACACTGTTTGCTTGAAAATAAACTTTATTTTCGTATCCCAGTAACCAGCAACATCTCATTGTTTCTCGAAGGTGGCGCTATTTCGCGAGACTTCGTTCGTGTTAGATTGTTTGTTTGTTGTTGAGCGTCTGGTCAAATATTTCTGAACTGTGATTTCTATTTATTTTCAACTGTTCACACCTCCATAAAATGTCGTGAAGATGCCTAGTATTGGTGAGATATTCGGCTTGTGCTGTGGTGCTTGTAGGATCGGCTGCTATACTGTAAGAGCATAGTATTATATTCAAAACTGTCATGTTATTCATTTAATTAGAAGTGACGGCGAACTGTCAAGATTTTTGTAGCGAAAGTAGGCTCCATCATTGTTGTAGTTTGTGTTTTAGAATTATTGAATTCTCAACTTGCAGACAAATTGAAAAATCCTGTTTAGTTCTCATAAAAATATATAAGCCTGCATGCTTATTTACTTCCATGCTCAAGGAGCCCCAAAAAGATGTTTAACAGTTTTTATATTTTTTTATTTATTAACATTCAACTGAAAATTGAAACAGGCCGGCATACAGGATTGGATTTTAAAGACAGAGTCTGCAATATGTGCGACAATGACCATGTTGAAGATGAACAACATTTTGTCACAAATTGTCCTCATTACAATGAAATAAGATTAAAACTTTACATTGTAGCTAATAAACGTATACCAAATTTTGACAAATTTAGTAATGAAAATAAATTCATATCATTACTAAGTGATGAGAAAATGTCTATTCCTTTAGCGCAATATTTAAAAAACTGTTTTAATACAAGACAGCAGCACCTACATAAACTAAGCCAGTAATACATTCCTTGTATTCAAATTATTATCTTTTTTTTTTATGCCTTTTTGTTCCCTTACTTTTTATGTGGTTATTTTTCTTTTACTACCGTAAAATCTGTATTAGAAGCCGCATCCCTAATAGAAGTCGCATCCATTCTATTTGAATAATTGAGAACCAAAAATTCATCATTTCTCATATGTGTAGATGCTCTAATAAGAAGCCGCATCCCCTCTGTTGCATTGTACCATTTTAATAGAAGCCGCGGCTTCTAATACAGATTTTACAGTAAATATCTGATTTGTAACCCTTTTCATCCCCTCCGGGGGATGTTGTGTGTTAATAAATAAATAAATAAATAAATAAATCCCCCGGAGGGGATGAAAAGAGTTACAAATCAGATACTAGTATTAGTAAAAGAAAAATAACCACATAAAAAGTAAAGAATGTAGAATGGACACTAATAAGAGATACAAAATGTATAACATGTCAACAAAACTTTGATTAGTCATAAAACTACAGCTGAATAAGCCTCTATATTCGTACGTACAACTATAGCTTGGGGTGGGTAAACGTAAACACTATATTTTTTGTTTTGTTTCGTACACGTGGAAGGAGTGCAACTTCACCTGAGGTAAAAAGAACTTCAAAAAAGAAATGGAAATGTTTTCAATTTTAAAAAAATGATTGTGGGATTATTACCCAATAGTATTCAGTATGTATGGTCACAATTAATCTTAAATTTAGTAAAATGGTAAAATTTATGCTTTTTGGATCCATACTATGTACATGCACAAGTACAATTTTGACTGTTGCATCTACAGTCAGCTGGCGTACTGACAAGTTATAATAAAATAAATGTGACTAATATACTGAGCCTAAAAAAACTAAAGTTGTAAAATGTTTTTATTTTTCTTCAAATTTCTACAATACAGAGTAAAAATAACAAATGGGGGTAATTTTAAGCTTTCCACAGTTCGCTAACGATATTCAAACACATTCAGTGTTTTTGGGTGGAAAAAGTCCCTGTATAGGCATGTAACCGAGAACACAGATAAAATAGAAAAGCTAATTGACCAAATAATACTGTATTTGTCATGCAATGTAAAAGTATGTCAGTGTTCTCCCTGGGGAAAATTGCTTACATGACAATTTGCACAACAATAGAATATGTTAATGACTTTTATTGTATTCATTGTTGTGCTAAATTGGTTCTATTGTTTATCCAAAATTTAACAGTTGAGTTTCCTTACTCTATAATGCCTTGGGGAGAATCTTGTACGTATACTAATCTTAAAGACGCAAACACAGCTTGTTTGGTAATTTAATTTATATTCCTTGAATAGTTGTTTTTATAATGAATCTGAATATCATTGGTAGTATCATCCAAAGTGTATTTTCACAGGGCAATGCATGAATGTACATGTATGTGGCACAGGGCAATACATGAATGTACATGTATGTGGCACAGGGCAATATATGAATGTACATGTATGTGGCACAGGGCAATACATGAATGTACATGTATGTGGCACGGGGCAATATATGAATGTACATGTATGTGGCACAGGGCAATACATGAATGTACATGTATGTGGCACAGGGCAATATATGAATGTACATGTATGTAACACAAGGCAATACATGAATGTACATGTATGTGGCACAGGGCAATACATGAATGTACATGTATGTGGCACAGGGCAATATATGAATGTACATGTATGTCGCACAGGGCAATACATGAATGTACATGTATGTGATAATAATAGTAACTTTATTGAAATCGTATCCACAATGGGGATATTGATACATACAATAAAGGTAATGTGTATAAAAATAATGACAAAACAAAATTACAGATATAACTAAAACTACTAGAATACATAACAGTTAGAGAAAAAAAGATAAATTATAAAAAAAAAAGACATGTACAAAGTATGGTAAAAAAGAAAAAAAATGTTTATTTGTTATGAGGCAGCTGGTAATCCTTTTTTTAAACTGTCTTGGTAAAGCAATGGTAAATAAATTTACTTAACTCTTTTAATATTTGTTTATCTTTTAGTTTTAGTATGTTTAAAAAATTATCATAGTCAGAGTAATTGTCCTGGAGTATGTTGTGTTTGTTGAAGAGGTCATCTCTTTCTTTTTTGTAGTAATTGCATTGTATAAGGAAGTGTGTTTCATCTTCGATCAGACCACTGTTGCATATTAAGCATTTTCTTTTGTTCAGATCAATATTTTTATGTCTTCCTATTTCTATGTGCACTGATTCTTAGCTTGGTCATTGCCGACCTGTGTTTTGGATTAATAATTTCCATATAATTTTCAAAGGTGAAATCTTGTTTTATTTCTCTATAGGTTCGTAGTATATTTTTGTGGTTTCCGCCTTTGTTATCATCATGTAGTGATTCCTTGACATTTTTTTGATATAGCAGTTGCAATTTTTCTTTAAATCTAGAGATTAGATTGTCATGGTTATCACTGTTTTTATTCCATATATCACTCATGTTTAATAATTTGAGTAGACGTTTAATACTTGATACCCAGTTGTAGGTGCCTGTTTCATCAATTTTTATGCATAGTCTGTAACATTCATTGACCAGTGTATTTTCCGGTTTATTAGCAATTTTCAGCCAGTATTTAAACATTTGTGTCAGGCTTGCTAAGAGCAGTGGGTAGCGACCCAGTTCCATTAGACTACCAACATTTGTGGCTTTACTTTACAGCCAACTTTCAGAAGAAATTTACAGAATTTCAGGTGGAGTTTTTCTGCTGGTGTTGTGCAGTTTGATAGGTTTGACAATTGTTTGATGTTATCACCTGACCAAAACTCAGAGCAGTAAAGCAAAATTGGTTTGACCACTGCATCAAACATCTTTAGATATATTTTTACCGGGATATTTGTTTCTGAATATAATTGCTGTTTTAGACTGAATAGAGCTTTCATTGCTCTGTTTTTTAAGTCAATTTAGGCTTTGTGAAGTTTTCCTGTGGAATTAATTTTAATACCCAGATATGTATAAAAAGAAACTTTTTCAAGTTCTTTTTTATTTACATAAAATTTAAATTTATTTAGACTTTTCCCTGATTTATTGAAAATGATAGTTTTTGATTTTGAGATGTTTATCTCTAGTTGCCATTTTTTGCAATAAGTCTCAAGTGT